CTGCTACAGAAATAAAAGAATTAATGAGTGGCATCATGACACATCTCTAGTTTGTTACGTTTCCCCGAATCACGCCTGTATGGCAGCTTGCTTGCCATGGCTCCTCATGTGCTTTGGACTTAAGTCTTCACACCTCACTGCACCCACAGTGACAGATGGTACACAGAACAAATGAAAGGCCGTTTTAATGCTTTGGTCAGACTTTGAAACCAGGACAGCCAGCGCTAACAGTCTCCAGCTGTCTCCGGAGGCCCGGAGTGTCCCCTGTGGTTCTTAACGTTTACATCTTAAGGGACAGAGAAAGGATGCAGGTTTTCTCTTGGCAGTTTTGGAGTACATTTGCCTATTACCAGAACTTTAGGGCAATTACTATTTACAGGGCATGATATGACCTCTGTCTAATTCACTGTAGGGGAGAAAGCCTCTAATATCATTCCTGTCATGCCTTGAATATTGGCCTGTAGCTGAGTCATTACCTGGTTATTTGCAGAAGGTCCTAGGACAGGTTCTGGCCATATCTATGAGAGGTGGCATTTAGTCCAGGGCCCCCTAGATCCAGATGATCTTCTGGTGGGTCAGGGGTAGAGAGCTGGGGGCAAGAGGTGTGTAAGAGGGAGGAGAAAGGGGGTTTATGTCAGATTTGATTTTTAATTTTATTCTGAATTTAATTTCTGTTCTTCTATCTCATTAAAGGAATACTTAAGGCTAATCATTATATTTCTTCATATCCACTTTTAACTTTGGTCTTCCCATACGTACCAATAATACAGTTGTTTAAGATGAGAAAATTGAGAAGTTTTTTCCAATTTGAAGGATCCATTGTCTGAGCATTGAGGAGTAGGATCTTCTTAATAGTGACTTAAACCATAAATAAGCATTTTTATGACTTAACTATGGATGCATAAGGTGTTCTCAAAGAGAGTACAAAGAATCAGCTCTCACAGTATCCAAAAAGATATCACAAAGATAGTCTAAGAAAGGGAAGTCCTTTGTTGCATAGGTGGTAAGAATTGTGTGCTGAAAACTGTGTTTCTGATATTCCCAAGAATATAAGACACCTCTGATTACAGATCTGCTAATCTGTGACAATAGGCAGGTGTTACTGGAATGGGACTTTGCCAGCATTAATAAAATACAAAGGTTGAGATGAGAGTCCCCTATGGACTGGGGCCCCTTGTGACCAATTACCCTCAGGGCTTACACTGCTGGACAGATTGCTGCTTGCTCAGCACCCCAGTGTATTTGACTGGTCACTGGGTGAACCCTGACAAGTGTACTTTTTAGATGGTAGTGATCAGAGAGAATAGTTTCACTTGACACAAAGCTAGGCTCTCAGGATGTAGAACAAGCTGAAATGAAAATCCTCATACTCGTCTGATGAGAACTAAACTCACTAGTCTGTGAAAGCTGGTTCAAACAGCGGGCTTATAGGGCTTGTGCCTGTATTCTACCCTGTGGATTCTCCTCCTTAGTACAAATGATATAACAGAGCGCCCCCCCCCCCCAACACACACAATAGTGCCCCCATCTCTGGGAGGAAAAGGGTCAATAAAAACCAGGAGTGCTCAAATTAAATGTATAGTAGTTGCTATGCCAAAGAAACTTGTTACACAAATAGCTTCTTCTGTTAGTGTAAATTTAGAAAGAGAAAAAGGGCTGTCATCACTTTTGCTTTCACTGGACCCCTGTAGACGAAGATCCAGAAGGCTGACAGTAAGAATCCTTCCCTGCTGACAGCTCTTGTCAGAGGTTCTTGGACAGCAGCAGCAGTCCTGGGAACAGGCAGTTTTCCAGCAAAGGAAGATCCTGCTGATTATACCAAAACTGTTGGGGAAGATAAATTTCCCCTCTTTGTCACTGGGTTCTTTTGGCTGGCCTAATAATCAAATTGACTGAAGACAGATTAACAGGAGAAAAATTTTATTTCATACATACAGAAGTTCATAGATATAAGACCTAAGAAGTGACCAAATCAGGCTGTTGATATACTCTTTTAAACAAAGAAACATTTGTGAAGTTTTGATACAACAAAGGGCTTTGGGCTTAGGGTAGCAAATTAATGAAGTAACTAAGTTTATATAGCTTTCTCAACCTTGAATTCTCTGTTTCTGGTGATAAGGATTCCTTCTAGCCTCCCAGTATAGGGACTATTCCTTCACATGGGAGGTTTATTTCACACTTTAAAGAAACATAGGTGGGTCAGAATGGCATATTTTGAGGTGGCGTATTTTGACTCAAATCCTATAATAGGTAAGGAGAAATCAAATAGCCCTCTTTTCTTACGCTTACTAATGTTTCAGATTCACATATTTCTCGAGTTTTTTTTTTTTTTTTCCCCGCTTAAAAACACTTGTCAGTATCTATTCAGTTCACTTCAGTTCAGTCGCTCAGTCGTGTCCGACTCTTTGCAACCCCATGAATCGCAGCACGCCAGGCCTTGCTGTCCATCACCAACTCCCGGAGTTTACCCAAACTCATGTCCATGGAGTTGGTGATGCCATTCAGCCGTCTCATCCTCCGTTGTCCCCTTCTCCTCCTGCCCCCAGTCCCTCCCAGCATCAGGGTCTTTTCTAATGAGTCAGTTCTTCGCATGAGGTGGCCAAAGTATTGGAGTTTCAGCTTCAGCATCAGTCCTTCCAATGAACACCCAGGACTGATCTCCTTTAGGATGGACTGGGTGGATCTCCTTGCAGTCCAAGGGACTCTCAACAGTCTTCTCCAACACCACAGTTCAGAAGCATCAATTCTTTGAAGCTCAGCCTTCTTCACAGTCCAACTCTCATATCCATACATGACCACTGGAAAAACCATAGCCTTGACCAGACGGACCTTTGTTGGCAAAGTAACGTCTCTGCTTTTTAACATGCTGTCTAAGTTGGTCATAACTTGCCTTCCAAGGAGTAAGCGTCTTTTAATTTCCTGGCTGCAATCACCATCTGCAGTGATTTTGGAGCCCAGAAAAATAAAGTCGGCCACTGTCTCCACTGTCCCCATCTCTTACCATTTACCTATAATTTATCAGTTTTGGTGCTTACTGCTGTATCTTAAGTACTTTCTGTCAGAATTCTCTTCTTATTAAAATGTATATTTTAATAGTTCTTTTAGTCAGAATATGTGTGTAGTTTATCTTCATATAGCTTTGAAATGTCTGAGAATACCTTTTATCACTCTTGAAAAATAGTTTTCTTGATTGTTTTCCAGGCCTCTTAACTGTCTTTTCAATTTTTTTGGTCTTTATCATGCTGCTTTCTGGTTGAATGTCTTAGTACTACCTTCCCGTTTACTACTTCTCTCTACATCTGTTTCTGAGTAATCATTGTCTGACATATTCTGCTGGAATTATTTTCTTTTATAGCTGTTTGTTCTTTTCATGAATGTTAATCTTTCCTTTGTTTCTTTGATCATGACTAATAATTACTGTAAAGTTTCTATCAGACCATATCATTCCTTTCTTTGGTCTCAGGCACTGGTATTTATACAATTCCCTATGTTACTGTAACTTGAAGCCAGGGTGAGAACAATTGTTTTAAATTATTTAAAGATGATATACAGTGACTGTATCATTATTTTAAAGATGAAGGAAGTCAAAGAAGAATCAAGGTAAACAGTGTGATAAGACTAGATAAAGGAGAGGAATTGGGACTAGTAGTTCTTAAAGTAGATTATGAATTAAATATTTAAGTATCTATATTCAATGAAAAGTTTATAAAGGTACGTTCCATAAGTTCTTACAAGGCTTTTTTTTTTTTCTTGCAGATTAATTCAAACTGGGTCTGTATAGTTGAGGTTGATCAGCTATTTTAGATCTACAATTGTGGTAGTACTGAATACCTTAAAAATAATCCTGTTTGGGATTGTTTATAATTTATTTATTTTTGGTTGTGTTAGGTCTTCATTGCTGCCTGTGGGCTTTCTCTACGGAGAGTGGGGGCTACTCTCTAGTTGCAGATGTGGGCTTCTCATTGTGTACCAGAGGCTCTAGGCACATGGGCTTCAGTACTTGCAGCACTCTAGCTCAGTAGTTGTAGCCTGTGGGCTCTTGAGCAGGGACTTGGTATTTGTGGTACCCAGGCTTGGTTGCCCTGTGGCATATGGGGTTTTTCCAGATCAGGGATCAAACTGCATTCACAGGTAGATTCTTAACCGCTGGACCACCAGGGAAGATGAGCAGCTATCCTTTTTCTTTTTTGCTCTTCACTTTTAAGAATACCCGTGCCACCATGATTTTCTTATTTCCTGATTACTTTCATAATTTTTTTTCCCTTAGATGTTTCATTTATATTAGTTTAAAAAGTCAGATCACACAGAAGCATTAATAATGTAGGACAATCCAGTTACAGTGAAAAACTCTGTGCTTCCAACTTTAACCCTTTTCTCCAGAGGGAGACAGTTTTAACTGTTAACTTCTGGTAGTTCAGTCCCTGTTTTACCTATACCACCATGTTCCTCCTCTTCTCTTCAGATTACAGGTTTCACTATTTTATTTCTTATATTGGCTGTCATTGTAACCTATGGTAATATATTTGTAACTTTATTTCTTGTTCCAGCAGCCATTGGCATTATTTGTTGATTTCTCAGAGTCTAAGGATAGTGCTTCTGTCCCAAGCTTTGCTTTAGCTTCCCTGCCTGCTTTCACCTCTCAGCCTCTGGTATTTTATGTTCAGACTAACATTTATGTTCTGTTCAGTACCCATAGTTAACACAACAATGTTTATGTTATACTGAGGATTGTTTATTATAGAGCCTGGAAATATGCTATAATTTCATCTCCTTTCTTATAAAGTTTTCTCCCACTAGAATTGCCTTTTTTTCCTTTCACTGTTTTCCTTTATCATGTCCACTTTGGGTGTTTTGTTTTGTTTTGAACTAATCACAGCAAGCAGTCTAACACTCACTCTTTTCTGAAATCTTCCTTCTAGAGCTCCTCTGCTCGTATCTGCTCTGAGTGTGCCTCAGGCCTGCCGTTGAACTTTCTTTAACTTTACTTTATTACTTTCCAGGTTTAGATCTATTTTTCTGGACCTGATATCATCCTCTTTTTGGATTTACTCTTCTGGTGTGGTGTCTTACATCTTACGACTTCAATGTTGCTTTGGAGGTAAACTTTGCATTTTTGAATGTTTGGGAATGCCTATATTCTTTTGGGTAATAGTCCTAACTTGAAAACCATGCTTGAGATTAGAGAACTCAAAATAATGAAACCAAATGAAAAGAAAAAGCCATCCTTGACCCTCGGATTCTCTCCCTATAGGTGGTCTTTACTTCTTAATTACCAAATTCAGCAGATTTTTCTTCCTTCTGTTTCTTATTTTACTTCTTCATGATGTTTGATAATTCTCATAGATAATTCTTCTCTTCTGTTTTTTTCCTAAAGGAAACCATATTTTTATTAAAATATACACACTAATCAATTTTTATACAGTCAATTCTAGTTTTCTTCTGTTTCTGGTCATTTATTTTCAAGATCTTTGCTACATTCTCCTTTATGCCCTCCATCCATGATGTTTCTGGATAGCACTTAAATGTTGTGACCTCAAGGATTTGATCTATCATCTTCTCTTCCTACCTCATACCTTATATCTGGACGTCATATATGTCTATGGCTATAGCTACCTTTATTTATACTGACTATGAAATCTGTCACAAAAGCACATTATGTTCCCCTTAGCCTGCATAAATCTAGCTGCCTTTAGAATGTCTCAGTCTGTATATATCATAGGTAACTCAGTTCATTTTATGCCAAATTGAATTAATCATTCTTCCCAAACTATCCTTGTATTCCATATGTTCTATTCTGTGAATTATAATACTGGATACCCAGCCTCTCAAACCCCAAATTAAGAAATCATTCTTAACTACTCATGTATCAAGCCAGTTACTACAAATATTCCTTTTAATTATCTTATAGGTGCTTCTGACTGTAAATATCTAAAATTCATTTCTTCTTTCTTACTCTTTTTACCTATCTTGGCACTTTGTGTATACCTAGTCACTCAGTCAGCTCAGATTGAGGAAGGATTCCTCCCTTTCCCTTATGCACATTTGGTGGTTGAGCTAGGTTTATGCATAGCCCAGTCATTTCACTGTATGTATTCTGTTAAATGTTTTGAAACAATATATGTATTGTTTCATATCTGAGAACTTTTTAGAACAATAATTACTGAGAAGTAGATCCAAATTCTTATTCACTGATCATTTCTGTTGAAAACATGATGTTCCTATTACCGTTTCTGATAGGGAGTTCAGGCTGCACTGTCTCTGCCCTTGTGCAGTTTATGTTATGTAATTGTCTTGGCTGTCCCCACACTTGGATGTTTGCTTATTGTTTAGAGAGGTATTGCATTAGACGTAATTGATCAAATGTGAAGTGAAAAGTATGTTTGGATAGCCAAATATATGATAGAAATGGACAAACTAGTAGAAACACAAAGAGATGAAGACAACAGAAGTTTACTTGTTTTGATGCTAAACATGTATCTGGGGTAATTGTTTTAACATTTCTATTTTTCCTAAAAATACATATATTTTAAAAATTTTTATTGGTACGTAATTCAAATGCCATATGATTCACTCCTAGCCATACAGTTTCATTTTAAATTAAAGAGGCAAAATGAGAATCTGTATGAGCATGAATAGTGAGAAGTTGTATTTAGATATTAGTCCCAGCACCTTTAATAATAACTTCTGTACTTTTCTCAAACTGTTCTCAATGAATTTTTTAGGTTCAGTATTTGAGGGTACGGAGAAGGCAATGGCAACCCACTCCAGTACTCTTGCCTGGAAAATGCCATGGACGGAGGAGCCTGGAAGGCTGCAGTCCATGGGATCGCTGAGAGTCGGACACCACTGAGCGACTTCACTTTCACTTTTCACTTTCATGCATTGGAGAAGGAAATGGCAGCCCACTCCAGTGCTCTTGCCTGGAGAATCCCAGGGACGGGGGAGCCTGGTGGGCTTCTGTCTATGGGGTATCACAGAGTCGGACATGACTGAAGCAACTTAGCAGCAGCAGCAGCAGTTGAGGGTAAGGGATTATGGAGAAAATAACCGTTTGTCTTCTAGAATGCTCTTATGGACCAAGTACACAAGGGAAAGGAAAGGATTTGCTGTGTTACAGATTTTCTGATCGTAACTTTTTGCTTACGAGTTTGTGATTTTGAGCTAAGAAACTACATGAGATCCAACAGGCTTCCTATGCTGTGCCTCAGCAATTTCTTTTGCTTCTGTTAAAGCAGAAGAAATTCTTTTGCTTCTTTTGAAGCTGCTAAAATCAGACCTCAGATTTGAAGCTGGTGAGAGAATGCCTTTTTGAACATATTTCTTTAAAAAAATAAGCATACTTTTCTGTGAAATCCTTTTGACTTAATCTTTACAATCTTGCAGATAGCATATCTTCTTGACTTGGTTTGAATGCAAATAGCATTTATTGTAAATGCAAGATAGGAGAGCCCTGGAAGGGCAGAAATTCAAAGGAAAGATTAACTTATTTACTAAAATGTTTTAGATTGTAGGAAGAGTTGAAATCTGGAGAAGGACATCAGTTTTGATTTGATTTGGCTGCAGATAACTGGAATATAGAAATAATCTCTTTCGTGACCCCATGGACTGTAGCCTGCCAGGCTTCTCTGTCCATGGAATTTCCCAGGCAATAATACTAGAGTGGGTTGCCATTTCCTACTCCAGGGGATCTTCCTGACACAGGGATTGAACCTGCATTTCCTGCATTGGCAGGAGGATTCTTACCACTGAACCACCAGGGAAGCCTTGCAAATAGTATTGGATTTATTGTTTCTCTCTGTTGGACTTAGTGACTCCCTGGTTGTCAAGAAACTAGTTACCTGCCATCTTTCTGTTCTTCCAAACTTTGCATTGATTTCCATCCTCATGGTTACCTTGTGGTTGCAAGAAAGTCATTGTATAGCTTCACTACTGTGTCTTCATTCCAGGTATCCTGAAGGAGGAAGTAGCAAGGAAAAAAACGTGCACTTTATAGCTAAATTACCAAGGAGTGGACTTGTTGGATCGCGGTGTGAATGTATGTATAACTTTGTAAGAAAGTGCTGAACATTTTTGCAAAGTGTTTGTTCAATTTAACATTCCCACCAGCAATGAGAGTTCCAGTTTCTCTACAATTTTTTAAACATTTGGTATTAAATTTTCCATTTTAAAGGGTGTGTTAAGGTATCTTATGGTTTTAATTTGTATTTCCCTAGTGATTAGTGATATTCAGTAGTTATTCATAAGTGCTTTTGGACAATTTTGTATCTCCTTTTGTTGTTGTTCAGTCACTAAGTCATGTCCGACTCCTTGAGACCCCATGGACTGCAGCATGCCAGGGAACTCCTTGAGTTTGCTCAAACTCATGTCCATTGAGTCGGTGATGCCATCCAACCATCTAATTGTATGTCATACCCTTTTTCTCCTGCCCTCAGACTTTCCCAGCATCAGGGTCTTTTCCAGTGATTTGACTCTTCACATCACATGGCCAAAGTATTGGAGCTTCAGCTTCAGTTCTTCCAAAGCATATTCAGGGTTGTTTTCCTTTAGGATTGACTGGTTTGATCTCCTTGCAGTCCAAGTGACTCTAAAGAGTCTTCTCTAGCACCATAGTTCGATAGCATCAATTCTTCGATAGTCAGCCTTCTTTATAGTCCAACTCTCCCATCCATACATGATGACTGGAAAAACCGTATCTTTGACTCTACAGACCTTTGTTGGCAAAGTGATGTCTCTGCTTTTTAATACTCTGTCTAGGTTTGTCATAGCTTTTCTTTCAAGGAGCAAGTGTCTTTTAATTTCATGACTGTAGTCACTGTCTGCAGTGATTTTTTTTTAAGTGTGTTCAAATGTTGTCCCTCTCTTATTTTATTATTGAAAGATAAGTTTCTATTGTCATGAAGATGTTCTCCATTTCTCTGAAATGTTTGTTGGTTCCAGAAAAAGTTTATTCCTTATGCATATTTGTCAATTATCCATCGCAAATTAGTACTTATGTATGGTATAAAGTTGAGGTCAAAGTTCTTTTCTGTTTTTTTTTTTCCACCTCCTATATGAATAGCCAGTTGACTGAGAAACATTTATTGAAAAAATAATCATTTCTTCTCCACTGAAATGTAGTGAGGCATTTTTTCTAATTAGGTGACCATATGTGAGGATTTTTTTTTTTTTGCATTCTGTTTCATTTGCCTATTTATTTGTAGTTATTCCACTACCAACCTGACTTAATTACTCTGACTTTATAATAAATCTTGGTGTCTGGTAGTATAAATTCTCTATTTTGCTCTTCAAGATTATCTTGGCTATTGTAAGTCCTTTTTGTTTTTCATATAGATTTTAGCTTGTAAATTTCCGTGGAGTAAGCTGCTAAAATTGTAATTGGGATTGTGTTGAATCTATAGATCAATTTGGAGAACAATCAATATCTGGACAACACTGACTTTCCTATCATTGTCTACCACCATGTTCTGTTCTTTGCTTTTATTTTTTGTATTTGTCATAAAATGTAGTTGATTAACAATGTTAGTCCCAGGTGTACAGCGTAGTGAGTCAGTACTTCTACAGATTGTACTCCATGGAAAGTTGGTATAAGATAACAGCTATAATTCCCTGTGCTGTACAGTGTATCCATGTTATTTTATACAGGATAGTGTGTATGTCTTAGGAACTAAAGAGCCTCTTGATGAGGGTGAAAGAGGAGAGTGAAAAAGCTGGCTTAAAACTTAGCATTCAAAAAATTAAGGTCGTGGCATCTAGTCCCATCACTTCATGGCAAATAGAAGAAGAAAAACTAAAAACAGTGCTGCTATAAATGTAGGGGTGCTTGTAGCTTTTCATATTAGTGTTGTTGGTTTTTCTGAATATGTACCCAGGAGTGGAATTGCTGGATTATATGGTTATTCTATTTTTAGTTTTTTGAGGAAACTCTACACTTTTTTCCATAGAGACTGCACCAATGTATATGCCCACCACCATTGTAGTAGAGTTCTTTTTTCCTCCATCTTCTCTAGCATTTATTATTAGTAGAATTTTTGATGATGGTGATTCTGACAGGTGTGAGGTGATGCTTCATTGTTTTGATATGTATTTCTCTAATAATTAGTGATGTTGAGTATCTTTTCATGTTTCTATTAGCAATCTGTATGTCTTCTTTAGAAAAATATCTATTCAAATTTTCTGACCTTTTTTTTTCTTCTAACAATGTTTTCATTTGTTTTTGTTACAGAGTTCCTACAGATATTTCAATAAATTTGTTCCTACATATTTGACTTTTTGATTCCTGTTATAAATTATGTCAGTTTAGAATGTTCATTTTTTACTTGGTTCTGGCATATGGGAATTGCAGTAGATTTTTACATATTGGTTTTGTATCTTGTGATCTTATAAGCTCACTTTAATAATTTTTAGATTCTTTTAAATTTTCTATGTATGCAGTCATATCATGTGTGAATAATGATAGTTTTACCTTTTCCATTTTACCTTTTATTTCTTTTCTTTTTTTTGCCATATTGCACTGTCCAGGACCTGCACTACAATATTGATTAGAAGACATGATTTTAGACATGCATATTAAGTTTTTGAATTCAGGAAAAAGAAGTTTGATATTTTGCCATTAAGTTATTAATTTTAGGTCTTTTGTAGTTACTCTTAATCACACATTTGTTTTTAAACCTAGTTTGCTGAGTTTTTATCACAAACTATTGTAGAATTTTAATTCAGTTTTGGCATTTAGTGAAATGATCATATGTTACTTTTCTCATTTATTCTAGTAATGTAGTAAATTTTATTGATTGAATTTTGATTGTTCAGTTAACCTTGCATTTCTGGTATAAATAATTCAGTCAAGATTTTTTTTTTTGGCTGAACCACATAGCTTGTGTTCTTAGTTCCCTGACCAGGAATCAAACCTGGGCTATAGGACTGACAGCAAATGCCAAGCCCTAACCACTGGACCACCAGGGAATTCCTAAACTCAGTCAAGATTTATTATTCTTTTAAAAATTACTGAATTCAGATTGCCAGGTTTTTTCTTTCTTCAGTATTTATCTTATATCCTTTTGAGAGTTACTATTGTAGAAAGATTACAAATTGCTGAAGTTTCACGTGATGGTTAACAATAATAATGCATTTTCAGTTAAGGTATGTACAGTGGATTTTTTTAAAGATATAATGCTATTGTACACTTCATAGAGTACAGTATAGTGTAAATATAACTTGTATATGTACTGGGAAACTAAAAAATTGGTGTGACTTATTTTATTGCACTGATCTAGAACAAAACCTTCAGTATCTCTGAGAAATGCATGTGCATGATACTTACTCAATTAGTGGATTTGATAAAGTCGATGCTATCAGTAAAGACTTTTTATATATGAAGGATAACTTATCAGTATCACTTTGATTAGTAACTTTGGTTTCTCTTACAGGCAAATGTTCTGAAAACAACTGTGCATGGGAATGGCTTGCCTTACAATGATAGAAATGGAAGAAACATCCACATCCCCTGTACATCAGAATGGTGATATTTCTGGAAATGCTAGTTCTGTGAAGCAAATAGATCCAGTCCTACAGGTCTATCTTTATCATTCCCTTGGGAAAGCTGAGGGGGATTATCTGAAGTTTCCAACTGGAGAGTATGTTGCTGAAGAAATTTGTGTTGCTGCTTCTAAAGCTTGTGGTAAGTATTAAAAAACAGTGTTTTTCTTCTTATTAATATATGCTTGGTTTATTATACTCTAACCCAATGTACCTGTGTAATATATTTTTTATGCTTCTATGACTGACAAGTGTTTTCATATGCATATAAAATGAGAAAATTACTAAAGTAGAATATAAGGTAAATTCTGTGTTGAGCTAGTGGTATAGAATGAGTGTGTTCCCCCCCAAATTCGTGTTGTGACCTACTCCTCCAGTGTGATGGCTTTGGAAGTGGGGCTTTCCAGATGAATCAGTCATGAAAGTGGACCCCTCATCAGGGGGACTAGTACCTCTATTAAAGAGATCACTGAGAGTCCTTGGCCCCTCATGCCATGTGTGGACATAACAAGAAGATGAATAAGAAAATGAATCATCTATGAACCAGGAATTGGGTCCTTATTAGACACCACATCTGCTAGCACCTTGATTTTGTACTTCCCAACCTCTAGAAATGTGAGAAATATGTTTCTGTTTTTTATAAACCACTTCATCTATGGTAATTTTCTTAGAGGATCCTGCATGAGCTAAAACAGCAATTGATACTGAGAAGTGGAAGGGCCGTAACAAATTCCTAAAACTGTAAAAGTGGCTTTGGGACTGGGTAATGAGTAATGGAAGAGTTTTGAGGTGCATGCTAGAAAAAGTCTACACTGTTGGAAACAGATCTTTAAAGGAGATTCTGGTGAGGACTTGGAAAGAAAGAAGCAGAGTTGTAAGAAAAGAAATTTCTTAGAGAACACTGGTGCAATCCTGTGCAGAATATTGGTAGAATTGTGTTCCATAAAGACCATTCTAAGATCTCAGATGGAAATAAGGACCATGTTATTGGAAACTGAAAGACAAGTGATCCTTGTTATAAAGGATCAATGGATCCTTTGATCAAAGGGTCAAAGAACTTGGCTGAGTTATGTTCATGTTTTAGTGCTTTGTAGAATGTAGAACTTATGAGCAATAAAATTGGGTATTTACTTCAAGTCATTACTAAGCGAAGGGTTGAAGGTGTGGCTTGAGTCCTCATAACTGCTTATGTTTGAAAATTAATGTTGTTGCTGAACTCCTTGGCCGCCCTTGATATGGTTCTGGCAGCCCCTAGTGTGGCAGTTATCCCTCAGCGGGGTGCAGATAGCAAACTGGTGGAATAAGTGTCTCCATTAGTGGAGAATGCAAAGGCCCTGGAGGCATGTCTGACTCCACCTAGATTTCAAAGAAGGGAAGCATGGGGCAGGGCTGCCAGGAGTCTTTGGTGCCCAGCTTCTGCCCAGCAAAGCTGGAGGGGCAGGAATGTTGCCCTGGTATGCCCTGCAGGCGGGCTCTCTTCTTCAGTGGGTCTGGAAGGCAGAGTATCAAGTTAGAGCCTTAAGGTCTAATGGAATTTGCCTTACTAGGTTTTGGATTTATTTGAGACTTGTCACTCATTTCTTCTTTTGGAATGGAAATATCTGTCCTATGCCTGTTGGAATGGGAACATCTGTCCCATGCCTTTTCCACCATTATATTTTAGAAACACATAATTTGTTTGATTTCATAGGTTTACAGCTGGAGAACCTCAGGATGAATTGTACCTTGTTGTTGTTCAGTCGCTAAGTCATGTCTGACTCTTTGCGACCCCATGGACTGTAGCACGCCAGTCTTCCATATTCTTCATCATCTTGCAGAGTGTGCTCAAACTCATGTCCTTTGAGTCGGTGATGCCATCCAACCTCTGTCGTTCCCTTCTCCTCCTGCCTTCTATCTTTCTCAACATCAGGGTCTTTTCTAATGAGTTGGCTCTTCTCATCAGATGGCCAGAGTATTGGAGCTTCAGTGTCAGTCCTTCCAATGAATATTCAGGATTGATTTCCTTTGGGATTGACTGGTTTGATCTCTTTGCTGTCCAAGGGACTCTCACAAGTCTTCTCCAGAACCACAATTCGAAAACATCAGTTCTTTGGCACTCAGCCTTCTTTATAGTCTAACTCTCACATCTGTACACGACTGCTGGAAGAATCATAGCTTTTACTATACAGAGCTTTGCTGACAAAGGGACGTCTCTGCTTTTTAATATGATGTCTAGGTTTGTCATAGCTTATGACACCGAAGATGCTTTGGTGAAGATGCTTATTCCACCAGAGTTTGTGTCTATTTTTTTCCAAAGAGCAAGCATCTTTCAATTTCATGGCTAGGCTCACCATCTGCAGTGATTTTGGAGCCCAAGAAAATAAAATATATCACTGCTTTCACTTTTTCCTTTCTATTTGCCATGAGGCGATGGAACTGGATGCCATGATCTTTGGTCTTTGAATGTTGAGTTCTAAGCCAGCTTTTTTCATTCTCCTCTTTCACTGTCATCAAGAGGCTGATTAGCTCCTCCTCACTCTGCCATTAGAGTAGTAGTGTCTGCATACTGAGGTTGTTAGTATTACTTCCTGGCAGTCTTGATTCCAGCTTGTGATCCATCCAGTGTGGCGTATCACATGATGTATTCAGCATAGAAGGTAAAGAAGCAGGGTGACAGTGTACAGCCCTGTTGTACTCCTTTTCCGATTTTGAAGCAGTCTGTTGTTTCATGTCTGGCTGTAACTGTTGCTTCTTGACCTGCATACAGATTTCTTGGGAGGCAAGTAAGGTGGTCTGGTATGCCCATCTCTTAAAGAATTGTCCACAGGTCTCTGAGCCGTGGCTGTTGGGCTGGCCTCACAGGCACTTCCTGTACAGTGGGGTGTGCATCTCAGGTGGAGGGCGGGTTTGGGGGTGCAAGTCAGGCCCCAGGTTACCCCCCAGTGTCGCCTCCCACCTGCTTTGAGGGCTCTGCCCTCTCGCTTGTCCTCTTGGATTCTATTCTAAGTGGTTCTAAGCTTAAGACCTCTTCAAATCCAAAATGGGAAAAGTCACTTCAAGTAGTTCACCTATTTAAGTGGATTTTCATAATAAAGTTTTAACAAAATGGAAAAAAAAAAGAATTGTCCACAGTTTGTTGTGATCCACAATCAAAGGTGTTAGCATAGTCAGTGAAGCAGAAGTAGGTATTTTTCTGGAACTTCCTTGCTTTCTCCATGATCCAACATATACTGGCAATTTGATCTCTGGCTCTTCTGCCTTTTCTAAACCCAGCTTGTGCATCTGGAAGTTCTCAGTTCACATACTGCTGAAGCCTTGCTTGAGTCTCATCCACATCTTATTTAAATGATATTTAGATGAGACTTTGAACTCAGACTTTGAGTTGATGAGGAAATGAGTTATTAAAACTTCTAGGACTGTTGGGATGGAATGAATATATTTTGAATGTGAAAGGATATTATTTTTGGAGGGCCAGGAATAGAATGCTGTAGGTTTTGGGAGAAGGACACAAACATTCACTTTCATATGTTGAAACATATTCTCCCAATGTGATTGTATTTGACGGTGTTACCAGGTCGTAAGGTTAAATATCACCTTACGCCAGTTGCTTTTCTACCCTTGTGTGGCTTAGTTATAGATAACTAAGTTATCTGTGTCTCTACAAATTACGGATATTTGTGTCTCTTTTTTCAAGATGTAGTCAGTTATGTTATGGTGTGAAATATGTGTTCCTAAAAGACACTGTGTTCTGCAGAATTGTGCTGTAAAAACCACAAGGCTTATAGGAAAAATAAGGTTAGGGGTATGACAGTCTAAACTTGATGATATTAAAAAAAAACTTAGTAAAACAGCACATGCTAAGTGGTAAGAAAATATATAAATAGTACAATATATTTGGCACTTTACCTTAAAAAAGTCATAAATTATTCTGATATCATATCTACAGCCTTGACAAGTTTTATGTTAAAGATATGAGATAATTATCTCTAGTGTAGAAACAGCAGCATTTAGACAAAAGAGGTCCAAAGAGTTATCTTTTGGAATCCTTCCACCTCTCTCTGAGCCCTTTACCAGTTAGACTTTCTTGACTACCTACTCACATATCTGTTATCTTCAAATTCCTTTCCATTCCCATCCCCAAATGCCCTTTATTGAATGACCTTTTTGTTAGGTATAGCTTTGATGATAAAATAATTTATATTAAGTTACAAAATAACAGTTTTAATAGAGGTATTTGTATTTAATGAAGAATCTTGATCTGTTATAACTTCTAATTGTAAAAAAAAATGCTTAAAGGAAATGTATTTTTTAAAGTGACTTTTATTCTGTTCTCAGTTAAAATGAGAATATGAAGTTAATGTTACAGTTGTAGCCCATTCACTTCTTTTCAGCTGGCTGAAATTTATTCTCCTTGTTTACATAAAACACCTAATTATTTTATGTGTTACTCAGTTCTTACCATAGCACTAGGGTGTTTGTGTGTATTGATAAGCATCTGATAGCTTTAAATTTTTTTTTAACTTTATATTGGAATATAGTTGATTAACATGTTGTGTTAGTTTCAGGTGTATAGCAGAGTGATTTGGTTTGACATTTATATGTATCTATTCTTTTTCAAATTATTTTTCCATTTCCATTTAGGTTATTAAGCAGAGTCTTGAGTCTGAGTCTTGAGCAGAGTTCCCTGCAGTATACAGTAGGTCCTTGTTGGTTATCTGTGTACATGTAAATCCCAGACTCTGATTCTATCCCTCTCCCCTACCCTTCCCCTTAGGTAGCTCTTAAGTACTCTGAGTCTCTTTCTGTTTTGTAAATAAATTCATTTGCATAATTTCTTTAGATTCTGCATATAAACAATATCATGTGATACTTGTCTTTCTCTGACTTACTTAGTATGGTAATTTCTAGTTCTATCCATGTTGCTGCAAATGGCATTGTTTCATTCTTTTCAACGGCTGAGTAATATTCTGGTGTATATATGTATGGCATCTTTTTTATCCATTCCTGTGTTGATGGCCCTTTAGATTGCTTCCGTGTCTTGGCTGTTGTAAACAGTGCTGCAGTGAACACTGCAGTGCATGTATCCTTTCAGACTATCCAGTTTTTCTCTGGATAGCTATATGCTCAGGAATGGTATTGCTGGATTACATGGTAGCCCTACCC